TAAATATTTTCACTATAAAAATAATTTTAAAGTTGTCTTTTTAACTTAATGTGATGTGCTTATACAATCATTTTTATAAACATGAATAAGTTACAAATAATTTTATAAATCCAAATATTAATACAATTATTTTTAACATGAATAAGTTAAAATATTTTTATAAATTGTCACACAGATCCAAGATACTTATAAACGAGAAAAAGTCTACATAGTGATATAATTACTTTTACAAACGAAAATAAGTTACAATAATTTTTATAAACAAGAATAAATTATAAATATTTTTATAAACGAGAAAAATTCAACTATTGATACAATTTTTTTTATAAACGGTAATAAGTTTCAAATATTTTTTATAAATGGATGCATGGGTTCGAGGCGCTTATAAACGGGAAAAGTCTACCTATGGGAACAATTATTTTTATAAACGGGGATAGATTACAATTATTTTTATAAATGGGAAATTCAAATTTGATAAATGATTATATATTGTAACTATATGAATGTTAACCAATTGAATACATGAAATAGATTCGCGGGCCGATGTAAACGTTTTTATCTATGAGATATCAGTTGTAGACGGCTCATTTTAATGTCCATCTTTTAAATCTTTCTTTTGCTATTTCTCAATTTAACAGTTGTAGATTGTTCATCGTAATGAAGGTCTTTGCAGACATAAATTCATGGATAGATGTAAACATATCTATGAGATACCAGGTGTAGACTGGTTATTTTAATGTTTATTTTTTTAATATTTCTTTTGCTACTGTTTTATATACTTGAAGTTAGAGAATCAACTTTACGGTTTATTATAAGTATGAATCAATGATTAAAAGTTGGTGCAATTATTAGCCTATATTTTGTAATTATACGAATATTAACTAATTGAAGTATGAATTCAAACTTTACAAATGATTATTTTTTATGCGTGTAATGTAAATTCAGACAGGACCCGTGCGATAGCACAGGTTTCTTACTAGTTGAGTTTAAAAGATTAAAAACTAAAGTAAAAAAGTTTAAAAGTGATACAAATTGACGCGGAAAGATCTTTTTAGTTCACAAATAGAAATTTGATAGTAAATTTTGTTGATAGTCTTGACGTATATTTATTACATTTCGAAGGCGGGATATTTCTAAACACTCAAATGTTCGAGTCATTGACCGAAAGTGATAGGTTTTATGGTAAGAATACTGTGTACCTAAATATGAGACTCATGTTAGGGTTTTATAATAGAGTTATAGATTTTTTTAGATCTAAACCTTCTGCTTGGTTACAATTTTATGAAAGGAAAAATGTTAAAAGATTTTTAAAGTATCATCTGATAATTTTGCGTCTTCTGACTGCACTGATCATGTGTCCTTCTAGAGCAGGTTCATCTTCGATTCTAGAGTACTTAAACCTTCTTTGTAGATAACTTCTTTAGAGAAGTGATGTCACTTTCCTAACATCATCTGGATAACGTCAATACTCTTTGATTGTGTGATCTAACGATCATTGGAACCTTTACCATTTTCACTCATATATGTTGCTAGGGTCGAATCATTCAATGATCCATAATTCTTTTAAGAAATCCAAGGGTGTGAATACTTAAGGGGACCTCACCAGACACATTAGATTGATTCAAAGATCATTAGCCTAGGATTCTGGGCGGGCTCCTTAACTATCTAGATTAAAGTGTATTGGGTCTTGGCCATGGCTGGATTAATAGCCCCCTAAGCTAAAACCGGCGATATTGGGTCATGTTTGGTTATAAAGCTCTTGGTTGATGGATCTATCTAGGGGTTGCAAGTCGTTCTTAGCCTTCAAGAATCTTCTCAGAGTACAAACACACTTTATTTCATTGATCGCATTAGACGGTGCAACGTGAGTTTATGTATCTTGTTGGAATGTCTTTCTACACTCAAAGCTTATACAAGAGAATACAAATCAGTTGCAAGAAATTATCTTAAGAAGTTCATAAATATACTTCCTAATTGGTACCAATTTAAGAGATGTACTCAGAAAGAACACTAAATGAAAACCCTACCAGTGCAGAGGCCGTCAGAGTCGCAAGTCTAAGCCGTATGAAAATGTTTGTCTTTTTATTAGGTGATTGTATCCATTATATAACATGCACTCATGACCTGTTACATATTTACGACCTATAAAGACTATTTAATAGTTGTCAAAGGTGTTGTTCCCTTCTTTAGTTTTGATCCATTAACATCATTAATCTACTTTGGATGCATTGTTTGATACCTCGTAAATCAAATATTCCTTTTGTGTTGATTATGGGTCAGCCTGATCAATTTGAATTTTTAATTGTCTTAGCTTAATTTTCATTTATGGATGGATTGTGAATTGGGGAGGGCTTTATTTACAGTCGGTCGGGACCCAACCCAATTTACCAGAATGTATACGGCCCCTCAAGCATGAGGTATGTAAGAGAGAAATGATTTAATTGAGAGATTGAATGAGAGACCAGAATACCTTGGACCCCTTGATTTGATTATTCCCGCTTTGTCAACTTTGGGCTGAAAATATAAGCTTGGCATGTCAATTGAACCATATATGACTTCCCTTTGTTAGGCTAACTAAGGTTCGAGGTAGGCTACAATTGCTGCTCAAAAGAGATAGGATATGTAAGCATTCCCTCAAGCGTGAAATAATTTAGGTGAGAGATTGAGTGGGAGAAAAAAATGCTTCAGACTGATTGATTTAATTATTCTCGCCTTGCCAACTTTAGACGTGCTGTTTTTATTGTTTTTCATATCTGATTTAACACATGGATCATGTGGTTAGTATCATTTAAATAAGATGATAACTTCTCTACCTATCACAAAAAGTTGGATATTATACCTTTAATCAATCGTCCAATAACATTTAATTTTATCATATTTAATCATTTATTAAATAGTATAACTTTTGGTTGTTTTTAAAATATTTTACTCTAAGGGTAGTTGTATGCAACTAACAGTTAAACAGAAATTCCACCATAACAACAACTGCATAGGAATTGAAATAAAAACATTCATTTTAAAGTTACAACTCCAATTGATTTTGAAATTGCTCCCAATATTTTTTGATTTAATCCCTCTTATCCTATCTATAAGAGACAATTTATTTTTTAAATTCATCAAATAATTTATGTATCTGATTTAATAATAGAACAAACATATTGATTATTATTTAATGAATCTAAAAAATAAATTATCTCTTATAATTAGGAACGAAGAGAGTATGTTATAAAAAAAATAGAAGAGAATATTTATTAGGTGACAACTTCACCTATTTATTATTATCTTTATTAATAATCATTATTTTAATATCTGAATCTATATTAGTATACGTACCTTGACAAAAAATCTAAAAGGAGGAAAAAAAGGCAAGATTAAGGCCAAACGCATGTTTGTGTAAATATCAATCAATAGAGTATTCCTTTTCATCTATCAATTCACGCAACATTTTCTTACACTACGACTTTGGGATTCGAACACATGCATTGTTGTATTTGATATTTAGTCTTGCTTATTCATAAATTCTTTGATCTGTTGGTGTGGTGGTTATGGTACCAGTTAGAATATTCACAATCCTCGTTGCGATCATCGTTATCGCTATCATCATCTTTCTCGTCTATACATACATGGAACTTGAGGCTCATGTTAGTTTTAGTTGGTCTCACAGTGGATTCTAAATGTACTAATTAATAACCCTATAAACGCTAATCCATCCAGAGTTGTAAGTCTAAGTCGTATGAAAAGTATATGCCTTTTTTGTTTGTGATGATATCCCTTATATAGCAGCCATGATCTGCTTGCTACTTAAGTACTATTTAATAACATCAAAGTTGTTGTTCCATTGTTTGGTTATGATCCATTATGATCATTAATCTCCTTTGGATTCATTGTCTAATACCTCAAAATTTGAATATTTCCTCCATGTTGATTCTAAGCTGGCCTGGTTAATTTGGATTGGTAATTGTCTTAACTCAATTTTGTCTTTATGGACGAATTAAGAATTGAGGAAAATTCTATGGACTCTGGGTGGACCCTCAAGTATGAAGTCTATAAGAGGGAAATGTTTTTGGTGAGAGACCGGGTGACAAAGGGGAATACCTCAGACACCCTGGTTTAATTATTTTCGCCTTGTCAAGTTTGGGTCAGAAAGATAAATTTGGCATGTTAACTTGACTACATTCAATTTTCTTTTGTCAGACTAATTAAGGTTTGAAGTGGGCTACAACTCTAATTTAAAAGAGACCGGATATAGACACAATCTCTCAAACATGTAGTCGATAAGAGAAAAATATTTTAGATGAGAGATCAAGTAAGAGACTAAGATGACTCAGACCCTCTAATTTAATTTATTCTACCTTGTCAGCATTAGACTGAAAAGATAAGATTGACCTATTATCTTAAACACATTCAGTTTTCCTTTGTCAGGTTAACTAAGGCCCGAGGCAGACTACAACTCTAATCCAATAGACATTGTATATGTATAATTCAAGCAGCCTTCGTGAGGGGCAACATGGCCTTCTAACTAAGATAGCACACCTTTCTTATTTTATGGTGGACTCTTTCGACCTCGTCACAAGCTGTCTAGAGCTTGACATATATTTAGAAAGTGTTTATCTCTTTAAGGAGTGGAACAAGATTTTAGACAGCACCACAAACAATATTTTCTATGCCTCATCCCATTTTTTGCGGACGATCTAAAGAAAATGAACATGTTCCTTTGGCACCCCCTAGTTGAAAGGCACAACTTCCAATTGTGACCGATGTTCTAGTTCTTACTCAAATCTAAATCCATCCTGCCGCTATACAATACGACACGTGTTGGTAGCAGATATGCAAGACGACAACATATCACACACATGTTTCAAGAGGAGAAACCTAGTATGGTGACAAGCTTCATACAAAGGACAAAGTCTCCTTCACTATAAAATCCTTGTGTTCCTTCTTATTCATACTCAACTTAGGTGCCTGTGTATTCACTACCATATATCAGCAAGCTCTTGAAAATGTCGCAGTTGATGAATAAAGCCAAGGACTTCGTCTCTGATAAAATCAGCGACGTGGCCAAGCCTGAAGCGAGTCTCACCGACGTCGACTTTACGCGTATAACCATGAACAATGTGGAGTACTTGGCCAAAGTTGCTGTTCATAATCCATATTCACATCCACTCCCTATTTGCGAGATCAAGTACTCATTCAAAAGCGCCACTAGGTAGTACAACTCGATTCATTTCTTTCATAGTTTCTTGTTCTATATATGTTTTTGACCTAATGTTGTTCTCTTTGGATGTGAAAGAGAGATAGCATCAGGGACAATACCTGATCCAGGATCATTGAAAGCAAAGGATACAACAATGGTGGATGTACCTGTGAAGGTGCCGTATAGCATATTGATGAGTTTGGCAAAGGACATTGGAGCTGATTGGGATATTGACTATCAGTTGGATTTGGGTCTTGTTATTGACCTTCCTGTTGTTGGTTACTTCACCATTCCTCTTTCTCGCAAGGGAGAGGTTAAGCTTCCAAAACCTTTCTAGAATGTAAAGTGGTAGTAGATGTTATGGACAATATACTAAGAGAATAAATAACTTACTTTGCACCGAGTTGTGTTTCCTTTTATGTGAATAAATACCTTTGTGTACTTTGAATCTACTTTTGTTTTTTAATTATGTATTCACCCCTTCATAAAAGAAATCCAATAAAATATGTATTAAACCTAATACAATGATTTCATAATGCTAAGAGTATTTTATGCATACACCTAAATTTTATTTTGACACAAATTCTTTGCCACCGTGTAATTTCCTATTCACACTCTTCCAAATCTACTATCGATATACTCCCCCTTTTTTCTATTTGTAAGAAAAAATTTATTAGCTAATCTAAAATTTGATTACTACCATATTTATAAAAATAAACATTGCAAAAACTAATTATATTCTTTAATTCAAAGTTAATCATGTTATTACTTAATTAATTTAATTCTCATTATTATTTTTAATTTCTTTTCACTCTTCAACGTACGAAGCAAGTAAGTTTTCTACATTCTTGATTCAGTTCTTCATTTTCATCTGATGAAATAACAGATTTTCTACATTTTTCAGTTGATGTTGTAGTGTTGATGTTGCTTTCGTTATGTTTTGATTAATTTTTTTTTATTCATTGTATTTATATGATAAAAATAATATTGGTTCATTTTCCGTGTTGTTGATATTGTTTTCGTTCTGCTTCACTTTCGTTATCTTATATCAGTTTCTGTTTTAGTTCTGCTTTTTTGTTTACAAATCAATACCTGAAATTCAAAGAAAATCTTCTACATCTTATATCAGTTTTCTATTTTAATTTCTTTTTGATGAATTTATGTTTTTCATTCTCCTGTAATTAATCAATATTTTGGAACAGGATATCATGTACAACAGAATTGACAATGTTGTTGATACTATTGATTCATAGGAGACATGTTGCCTTGTTATTTATATAATAGATCTATGGACTTGATCTTACCTGATCAGACTTGGACCGTCACGACTGGCTCCGAGCGGAAGTTGAGCGAGATGGGGTGGGGGGGTTTACCTGCAAGGCACTCCGATGCTAAAGTGAGTGACGGTACGAGCAGGCAAAAGTGTATGTATGGGTAAGAGAATGAATACCTGACCCTCTAGGAATATAGGGTATTTATAGCCCCCAGCGCGGGGCCAAGGTCCCTTCATTGGGCCGACCAGGATTGGCCCAATAAAGGAACTTCCAGGTTCTACGTGTGTAGTGGGGACCTGCGCGTGGTCCCCTTCCTGGTGATGCTCTGCGAGAAGTACGGGGGGCGAGGACGCGGTCTTTCCGGAGTTCAGGTGATGGAGTAACGGTCATTCTCTGCCCTACGAGGAGGGTGCTCGAGTTGGGCTCAAGCTGGATTTCATGGGGTCGACGACGTCGTGTTCGCGGGCAGCGGCGGGCACGGCTGTAGCTTCTGGTTGACGCGCTGGTGGGAATCTTCGGGCTCGCGCCCCTTGTAGAGTTGCTTGGATTGGGCCTTCATTCTTGCTCTTGGGCCAGGACGGGCCCAGTCCAGAACAGGAGCCCCCCAAGTCGTGGCTCTTGGAGCAGGAGTTATGACTTGATCTCAGTTCGTATTCGTCACGAGGCCTTACGCTCGGCCAGGATATTTGCTTCCCTGTGGTTGCTTGAGGAGTTTCTTCTGTGTTGCGTTCGTGAGATGATCCCTTTCGAGGTGTGCTCGGGGGACTCTTTGCGGGCTGTGCTCGTTGAGTATACGAGGCAACCCTTGGGAACCGTGACGCCACCCTAGTGAAAGTAGAGTCATCATTGCCTAGGGGAGTAGACGTCGAGGAGGGGAAGCTCGTGGTTCCCCCGGGGTGACGTTTTGTATTCCACGTCACCCCTATAAATAGGATCATTGGGTCCCATAATCCGTTTTTCCTCTTCGCGCTTCTCCTCCCTCCTCTGCCTTTGCCGCCGCTGTTTTTCCAGAATTTCATAGGACCACCGTACGTTCCGCCGTCGATTTTCTTCCCTGCCGCCGTACATTCTTCCTAACTTCCAAGTAAGCGTTTTATCCCTCATATTTTTCTCTGTGGTAGGTGATTTTTCCGTAGTTTGTATGTTAGAAATCCGCATCTGGGATTAGTGCCCGGTACATTCGTGTTCACGCCCGGTATGTTTATGCTTTTGCCCGGTAAACGCATGTTTGTGCCCGGTGAACGCATAGCTTTAGGTATGTGATTTGCGATGCTGCCCGGGATCTTCATAGTCTTGGGCGTATAACTTATGATATTGCCTGGTAAACCCATAGTTCTAGGTTTAGGATTCATGATATTGCTCGTCATATCCATGGTTTAGGTCGACGTACTCATGACTGGCCGGGATGTTGGCCCATTTAGGTAGTATATAGGATGACTCGTCGCGGCACCTTCGCGTCGGGGAGGTGAAACCAGACTTTTGTTCGAGTCCTCAACGTTTTAACGTGCGTGGAGTATGACTTGGCTTGTCGTGCCCTTCTTCCTGTCAGTTATGGCAAGCGTATGGATTTGCTCCCAAATTGACCGGTTTCCTGTGCTTTGCAGGTAAAATGGCTGATGAACCGGAGTCCTCGGGGCACCACGAGGTAGAAGACCAGGGTGTCGAGGAAAACGTAACTCTGTTTGATACCATTGATGATCCTTTGCTGGATTGGGTGGGCACCGAGCCCAGAGGGATTGCCTCGGTATATAGTCGGCGCAGTCAGAGCGCCTACACTATCGTCGAGCACGACGGTAGTCAGCCGGGCTTTCAGAAAAACTTTATGGTCACCAGACTGTCTCTCAACACGCGGATATGTTCGGAGTTCTCTGAGTACGGGTTTCCCATGTATGAAATCGCGTTCAAGGACCTTGGTCTCAAGCTCCCCTTTAGTGATTTCCAGGTCGGGGTATTCAGTCATTTGGAGTTAACCCCCTCACAGCTTCACCCCAACTCGATTGCCTTTCTTCGAGCGTTCGAGCTGACGTGTCGCTTTTTAAGGATTGGGGCGATCATCCCTCTCTTCTTCAGAGTCTTTCATTTGCAACGCCAGTCTCAGGGAGGTAGGCACAGTTGGGTTTCCCTGAAACAGTCGAAGAGGCTGTTCAGGATGTACATGGATTATGTCCGGGGTTTCAAGGACAAATGGTATGTCGTGCGGCCTATCACCCAGACTTCTCTGGATTCTGTGTGTTGTACCCCAAAATTTGCTCTCTCTTTTCCACAAGAAATCACAGCTTCGGGCTTTTCCTGATTTTTCAGATTGGCTTAAGAATCGGTCAAACAGACTTTTCTCATCAGTCAGACAAAATTAGGGTTTCCATTAACTTTTGAATCAGTCCAAGCAGATTATTAAGGTTTCTATTGATTTGGTTGAGTTTGGCTCAGGGTTTGATCAAGCAGACGTTTCTTTGACAATAAATCAAGAATTAGGGTTTGCACGCGCATTTTCAGAAGAATTTGAATCCACAGTGTCTTAATTGGCTGTTACACTGCTTTGACGTTTGCTCAAGATTTCTGTTTGTTTCTCAAGGTCTAAACATATGGGATATGGGCTGAGGCTTCTGATTGAGAGTTTGAAGTGTTGGTCTAATCAGTGAAATGAAAGGCGTATGGACATTTGTTTTGATTGACTGTGCAATACATATGGTTATTTGGAACGCCGGGTTTATTATTGGTTAATGCAAGACAGTGAGACTGCGACGTTTGTTAATTATTTATTTTATCTAAGTTAAGATTATTGGGATAATTCCCAATTATTATAACTCAAGAGATTTAAATGATTAAATAAGCAATTGCAGAAGAATTAAAAGAGATATCTGACAAAGAAAGATTTTTATTCATTTTTAATTGTTTGTTACAAATATTATCTGAACACTGTAAATTTATTTACAGTTGTTTACATTAATATTATTACAATGATTAAAAGTAATTTAAAACTATATCCTAAATCTCTGGAAATCTTCATCTTCTACTGCTGCTCCCCATTGCTCAACTGATTTTTTATCTGCAAAGACAAAAAAGAAAGAAGTCAAACACAGATGAATTAAAAAGGCAGACAGATAATTTAAAACTCATCATTAAAAGTGTTGGCCGGAATCAGTTTGTTCGCCCTCTCTGCAAATCGCAAGAAGACTCTTGGTTCACAAAGAGGGAAAGAAAATATGTTTGCAAATATATGAATTAATACAAGGCAGCATATTTAAAAAAATGCATAAGGCTGCATAAATTGCATTGTCAAAATGGGCAAGCAAGCTGCACAGTTCAAAGTGACAAACTATGCTGAACAAATTTCAAACTAAGCAAACTAAATCACAAAGAAGTTGTCAAACTGTCCAAGAGCTGTCAACAGAGCTGACTACAAGCTAGCAAAAGCAAATGCAGGAAATCTGGAAAGATACAGAGGAAAGACAAAATGCAAGCAAGCTTGTAAAGATACATTATCATCATTTCCCAGCCAAACACTTTTTCAGAAAAGTACAGTTTAAAGCAATAAAAAATGCTTTTTTTCTGTGGAGAGAAAAAGAGAGAGAGAAGTAGAGAGGCTTACAGTGGGCAGGCTTAAGACAAAGAGATATAAAACAAAGAGCATCAGAACAGTTCAAAAGGGGGGCAGAAAAACATAAAGAAAAATATAACACAAGCTCTCAAGCCGGTAACTTCAAAACAAACCACCAAGCTTACAAACTGCCTCCAAACCAACTCAATATCAAAACCTCCACAAACCTGCATAAAACATAAGCAAGTCTGCCTGTTCAGAAAAGCCTTGCAGCCCTCAAAAACCTGTTACAGATACAAGCCAATAAGCCTGTAACCTCAAGCCCTGAAACCTGAATAAGAACAAGCTTCAAACTGCCTTGAAGCCAAAGCAAAACTGGTAGAAGCAAGCAAACAATAGCCTGTATCCAACCAGCCTGTCAAAAACTATACAACATTCAAGCTTCCCAACAAACCTATCTCAAGCCTTATTCAAACAAAACTCAAACAAGCAATCAAAAAGCCTGTCAAAGCATAAACCCCAACA